GCCGCCCGCCCCCGCGAGGAGTCGCCGGCCCCCGCCCGCGAGGGCGAGGCCGCCCCCGCTCGCCACCCCCCCTCGGTCCACCGCGCCCGAGGAGAGCGTGACCGGAGGCCGGGAGGAGGGGGATGATAGGCAGGAGGATTTGTCAGTGTGTTGCTGATTGCAACGCGAGGTAAGGCAATTGCCTGAGCCCGAGTCGGGGGAACAGGCACATGGGCTCCCTCTCTCCCCCCTCCTCCCCCTCCCCTCCCCTTCCTCCCTCTCCTCCTCCTCCCTCCCTCCTCCATCTCCTCCTCCTCCTCCCTCATCCCCTTCTCCTCCTCCTCCCTATCCTTCCTCCTCCTCCTCCTCCTCATTCTTCCTCCCCCTTCTTCATCCTCCTCCTCATCCTCCCCTCCTCCCCTCCTCCCTCCTCCTCCTCCTCTCCTCCCTCCTCCCTCCCTCCATCCCACCTACACCTTCCACTCCTCCTCCTCCTCCTCCTCCTCCTCTTTCTTCCCTTCCTCGCTCTCCCTTCCTCTCCTCCTCCCTTTCATCCTCCATCCGTCCCCTCTCCTCATCTCTCCTCATCCTCCTCCTCCTGGCGAGCCGTGGTCGATCGGGGGTCCAGGCGCCCCCGGGAGGGAGGGCCATCCTCCTGGTCCGGAAGCCTGCTCCACGGACCGCTCCTCCTGGTCCGGAAGCCTGCTCCACGGACCGCTGTGGGCACCTGGCACTGGAGTTAAGTCGGGCCCCGGGTCGCGAGCGCGCGTCGCCGCCGCCTCCGCCCCCCGCCTCCGCCGCGCGCGCGCGCGCTGGACGGCTCGACCCCGACCGAGCGCCCGCGGCCACTGCTGGACCAAGGGCGCCCGCGAGGGCGCGAAGTCATCCGCACTTCGCGCTTCGCGGTTGGCTATTTTGGTAGTTTTAAGTCGGGCCTGTCCCCCTACAGGGGGATTTTCGACGAAGAATAAAAAGTACCCCCCAAATCTAGTCCAAAAATAGTCCGAACGTATTCTGGGAACTATTTGTTTGGGTATTCGTTGGCCTTTTTTGTTGTTGTTGTATTTTTGGGGTATTTTTTATTTTCCGTCGAACATCCTCCTGTAGGGGGACACGCCCGACTTAACACTGGAGGATGGTCTTTGCATTCCGCGTGCTTCGTGGCAGCCACGTCCTTTGGGCCCCGGAAACGGCAGGGCCGTCTTCCACCGTTTTCCAAAAACATGTCCCTTGAAAATGGAAACGGCAAAAAAACGGCGACCGGAAACGGCAAAAAAAACGGCTCCAGGATTGGAACCGGGGCCGGAACCGGTCAAAAAACGGCGACGGCACCGGTAAAAAAACGGCGTCGGAACCGGTAACAAAAACGGCAAAACGGAACCGGTAACAAAAACGGCCCTGTAGTTTCCAGGGCCCGCTGAGGCCACGTCTGGTTTTTAAGCAGCTGTGCAGCAGGCAAAACCATCCCGCCGTTCTTCTCTTGTGCCGCATCGCGAGGGGGCCTGGGGATTTCGACGGCGGCGCCTCGGCGCCGCCGTGCAGTTACGGCGACGGCGGCGGCGGCGACCGACGACGCCGCGGCGGCCAGCGATGGCGGCGGCGGCAGCGGCGGCGCCGGCAGATCTCGGCGGGGGCGCCCCGGTGCCGGCGGCCCCGCGAGGGCCCCCCGAGGCCAGCAAAATCATCAGCGCCATCCCGACGGCAGTTTTTCTCCCCCACAGCGAGAGGAGGCCCTGGGCTCTCGATGGGGGCGCCTCGGTGCCGCCGTGCCGCATCGCGAGGGGGCCTGGGGATTTCGACGGCGGCGCCTCGGCGCCGCCGTGCAGTTACGGCGACGGCGGCGGCGGCGACCGACGACGCCGCGGCGGCCAGCGATGGCGGCGGCGGCAGCGGCGGCGCCGGCAGATCTCGGCGGGGGCGCCCCGGTGCCGGCGGCCCCGCGAGGGCCCCCCGAGGCCAGCAAAATCATCAGCGCCATCCCGACGGCAGTTTTTCTCCCCCACAGCGAGAGGAGGCCCTGGGCTCTCGATGGGGGCGCCTCGGTGCCGCCGTCCGGCGACGGCGACGGCGGCGGCGACGACCGACGGCGGCAGACGACGCCGCGGCGGCCGACGATGGCGGCGGCGGCGGCGGCGAGGGCAACGGCGACCGACGACGCCGTGGCGGCCGACGCCGACGGCTGCGGCGACGGCGGCGGCGGCCGCCGCGCGACGATGGCGACAGCAGCGGCTGCGGCGGCGGCGGCGGCAGACGAGGCCGTGGCGGCCGACGATGATGACGGCGGCTGCGGCGGTGACGGCGACCGACGACGCCGCGGCGGCCGACGCTGACAACTGCGGCGGCTGCGGCGGCTGCGGCGGCGGCGGCGGCAGGTCTCGACGGGGGCCTTCTTGGGGCGACGAGATCTAGACATATCAGCTGCCCCTGGTCAGGAGCAGTTCTGCAGATCTGACGCTTCCCCCCCAAAAACCTGCAGCGTCGCGAAAAACCGCGACCGGAGCCCTGGACCCCATCTTCCCGCGCCAGTCCTCCAGCCGCATCGGGCTGTGGGGGCCCCGGGGCCCAAAGCTGGGCGACAGCGCCCGTGGTGAACAGGCTCGCACCGCCGGGGCCCTGCGGGGGGTGGCCGTGTGGTAGCTCTGGCCGCCCTGCGGCCCCGCGAGGACCCGGCGCACGCGGCGCGGTTCGCGCAGGAGCCCTGCGCGCCCTCGCCGCCCGCTCCGCCGGCCGCGGCGGGGTCCGCCTCTCTGGCAGCGCATGCCTGCGATCTCCCCGGCACTTCGCACGTCTTCGGACGTTCTCTCGGGCGACCGCAGACATGGATCATAAGGGGGGCGTGGCTTCGCGACGGCTCTTCCTCCTCCTCCTCCTCCTCCTCCTCCTCCCCCTCCTCCTCCTCACCTTCCTCCCCCTCCTCCCCCTTCTCCTCCTCCTCATCCTCTCCTCCTCCCTCCTTCCTTCCTCCTCATCCTCTTCCTCCTCATCGTCCTCCTCCTCTCCTCCTCCTCTCCTCCTCCTCTCCTCCTCTTCCTCCTCCTACTCCTCCGTCGTCCTCCCCTCCTCCTCCTCCTCCCCCGTCGCGAATCCACGCCTGGGGGGCGTGGATTCGCGACGGGCCCCGCTTCCAGGGGAAATCGCGGACTTCCGCCGCCGAGCGAGGCGGCACCAGTCGCCTTTTGGGGAGGGCACCTCCCCCGATCCATGGATTCGAGGACCGCGCGCCAAGGCCATGGATCGCTGATCCGTGCTTGCGCGCCCCCGATTCTCGAACGTTTCCCAGCCTCGGGGTGTTCCTCAGCGGCTGCGCCCTGATCCCTGGTCCGCCGTACCGTGGGCGATGTCGAAATGCGAGGGCGGGAACTCCCGCCCTTCTTCTTCAGGCTCCTGCGCTGCTGATTTCCGCGCTGTCTTGCCGTCGCTGGTTCTGCCATATCTTTGCGGAACTATTCGCCCTGCTTATTGTACAGCGGAAATGTCCACTGGGGCCGATATATCCACCATACTGTTTCGCATTGTTTGGGGTGTATGTCCGACACATTGCAAGTAGGAACATCGACCAGAAAATACTGCCAATCCGAAGCCATGGTGGCGCATTCCTTCGATTGCGAAGGCCTTGCGGCCGTTGCCGCCGACCCTGAGAGCGACGAAGATGAAAACGAGGGGGGGGCAGGGTGGAGGAGGTGGATGAGAGAGGAGGAGGGGGGGGAAGGATGTGGAAGAGACGCAAGAGGAGGACAAGGAGGCAGAGGAGAGCAGGAGGAGGGGGGAGCACAGGGTGGGGGAGGAGGAGGAGGAGGAGGAGGAGGAGGAGGAGGAGGAGGAGGAGCAGGAGGAGGAGCAGGAGGAGGAGGAGGAGGAGGAGGAGCAGGAGGAGGAGGAGGGCCGGCTTTGAGGCGTCTTGGGCCGTCCTGGGGCCCTCTTCGGCCGTTAGGGGACCCTCTTGGGGGCCTCTTTGGCCGTCTCGGGGCGATCTTGGGGACCTCTTGGGCCGTCTTGGCGCGTCGGGAAGCGGAAGAGGCAAGAACGCCAACATCTTTCAAAAACGTATGGGTAATCCATGAATTTTGCCTCTCGGGGCTCTCGTGAGAAAGCTCCGGGAGGCCTCTTAGGGGCGTTTTGCAGGCCTCTTGGGCCGTCTGGAGGCCGTCAAGGCGTCTTGGACAGATCGTTCGGCGATTCGGGGTTCTCTTGGACTGTCTTTGGGGCCTCTTGGGGCACTCTTGGCCCGTCTTGGGGCTTTTTTTGGGCTCCGGGACTCCCCGGGGGGGTGAGGCGTTTGACCCCCCTCCCCCCCCCCCAGGACCCCCCCTGACACCCCCACCCCCCCCGGCGGGGGAGGGATCGAAGGGAAGGGGCGTCCCTTCGGCTCAATTACGACGTTGGTCAATTTCGCTTTGGCTGGCGCGCTGAGGAGGTCCCTGGGGCTGCCCGTCGACTCAAGTACGACCAACGAATGACAGAGAGGGGGGAGGCAGGGAAAGGGGACGACAGAGACGACGACCAACGAATGACGGAGATGACGAGTTGAACGGACAAGTCCCTCACACACGCCGACAGGGTCGGCGAATTTCTTGCGATCCCGAACGTTTTCTGGAGTTTTCGCCGGAGCTCAGGCGTTTTCCAGCCTCGGGATGCTTCTCGGCGGCTGCGCCTCGTCGAGGGCGTTCCGGGGGCTCGGGGTGCCCAGATCGAGGGCGAAGGGACGCCCAGTTGGTTCTCGCTTGAAGAAGGAGTTTCACGCCGAGTTTGTCAATGGCCAGATGTTTGACAACCGCGAACAAGAATTGGAATCTACTACATTATTTGAGCTCGATTCCCATGGCGGGGAAGTCGAATAACGACGCGCTGTCTCAAGGTCTCTCTGCGAACGGGTCGACGCCAGCACTCCCAGTGCCCTCCTCGGCAGACCCGGCGGGTCGCAGCTGGCGGGCCCCTTGATGGTGGAGGCCCGCAAGTTGAAGCGGATCTTCGGGGGTGGTGCTGGTCAGGCTTGTGGCTGCGGACGAACCGCCTTCCCAGGCAGTCCCCGCACCAGGTCACCACGATAGCCGTGCGGACCGCTCGGGCGCTGCACGATCAGACGTTACGGCCGCGCGGCGCTTGATGGGGGCCTGCAGGCTGTGGTCGTTGAGACGACGGCAGTTGGCCTTCGGGCCGAGGGGCCCTCGTAGCTGTCTGGACCCTGGGAGGGATCCACGGACCGATCCTGAGCTGCCGTTGTCTCGCCTCGCCCGGCTCCGAAAACCTGGGCCTCCCAGACTGGGTCGGAGCAGGCGGGGTCGCAGGGTTGCGCCGCATCGCCGATGCATCGGCGGTGCGGCTCGATGTGGGGCCCCCTCGTCGCCATGGCTGGACGCAGCTCGGAAAACCGGTGCGCTCGGACCCCGGGAGGCGTCCAGGGACCGACTTTGAGCTGCCGGTGTCGCACACATCGCCCTGCTCCGACACACCTCCGCGCCCTCTGGGCAGGAGGAAGAAGAGGTCGAGGAAGCGGAGGAGGAGGAGGAGGAGGAGGAGGAGGAGGAGGAGGAGGAGGAGGATCAAGACAGCTGTAAGTGGATGCGGAAGGCGGAGTGAGAAGGACGGGGAGGAGGAGGAGGAGGAGGAGGAGGGAGGAGGAGGAGGAGGAGGAGGAGGCGGAGGAGGAGGAGTGGAGGAGGCGGAGGCGGAGGAGTGAGAGGAGGAGGAGGTGGAGGAGGAGGAGGAGGAGGAGGAGGAGGAGGAGAGAGGGAGAGGAAGGAGGAGAGAGGAGGAGGAGGAGGCGGAGGAGCAGGAGGAGGAGGAGGAGGAGGTGGAGGAGGAGGAGGAGGAGGAGGAGGAGGAGTGGGAGGCGGAGGAGGAGGAGGAGGAGGAGGAGGAGGAGGAGGAGGAGGAGGAGGAGGAGGACGAGGAGGAGGAGGAGGAGGAGCAGGAGGAGGAGGAGGAGGAGGAGGAGGAGGAGGAGGAGGAGGAGAGAAGGAGTTCGACTACGTGTACCTGGACGACAGGATGGAGGCGAAGGGCAAGCCCCTGCGAGTGCACGCGGCATCCGTGCAGGGGTACCAGGACCGCCGCGCACGCCCACCCACCACTCCCGCTGCCGGCGTCGGAGAGCGCGCGCCCTCCCGCCGAGGGGCCCGTGCGCCGCTGTGGCTGAACCAAAAGGCCGCACCACCCGCGCGACCAGGAAGCCGGCGCGGGCTGCAACGCGCCGCCCCGCCCCCGATGTTCGACATGGGGGACAGAGGGGTCCCGAGGGAAACGGGCCCTGAGGCGTTTCGCCGTTCACGGGCGCTCGGGGCCCTCCACGGGGGCCCCGGGACCGTGAGAGAACGGCTCAGGATGAAGACTTGGTCGAGGGGAAGGTCCCACCACCACCACCACTAAGCCTTGCGTCCGTCTGGTCCAGGGGAAGGGGAAAGGTCCGTCTGGTCCGTCTGGTCCTAAGCCTAAGCCACTAAGATTTGGTCCAGGGGAAGATCCCAGGGACCCATTTCCCTCAGGACCCGCTTCCCCCGTGCTGAGCTGCCCCCGATTAGTCTTGGTTGGCGTCGCCGGCGGGGCGCAGGATCTCGGCCAGTCGACGTGTCGTCGACACGTCGACACATCGCGGCGCAGCCCGCCAATCTCAAACCGGGGGCGCGGGGGGTGTTCACAAAACGCGAGAATCAGAGGAGCGGGATTTTGTCTATCACTCGCCCCCCTCTGCCCGCTCTCCTGTCTCCGCCAGACCGTCTCTCGGACGTGTGCCTCTTTTTTTTCCGGAAAGGACAATCGAGGAGCATTGTGGATCATATTGCGAAACAATAAAGCAAGGAAGCCGACACATGCACGGATAATGCACGCCCGAGCATTGGCATCGTTGCGAACCTATCTTTCACGCTCTTTTGACGTCGATATCCGCCCTGCTTTGCTGCGCTTGTTTCCGCCGTATTTTTGCGGAAACATCCGCCTTGCTTGTTCAGAAACGTTTGCCCTCTTTTTTCCCATCTTTTCGGGTGCATTTCCGACGCAGCAAAGATTAAGCCAGAAGGTCGGCTAAAGTACGGCGCATCCGAAGTTAGGGCCCCGCTACCCCCTCAGTCCCTTTTTGCGTGCCCCTTTTCCCCCTTCCCTCTCGCGCCTCCCCCCCTCTCCGTCCCCCCGTCCCCCCGCTCGCCCCCCCGCTCGCCCCCCCCTCCGCCCCCTCCCGCGCGACCCCCATCCGATGTTTCTCACTTAGTCAGGCGACCCCCTCCGTCCCCTTCCGCCGCCTCTCACTTAGTCAGGCGACCGCAGACATGGATCAAGGGGGCGTGGATTAGCGACGGGTCCCGTTTCCACGGGAAATCGCGGATTTCCGCCGCCGAACGAGGCGGCACCGGCCGCGTTTTGGGGAGGGCACCTCCCCCAACCCATGGATTTAGCGACCGCGCGCCAGATCCATGGATCGCTGATCCGTGTTGGCGCGCCCCCGACTGAGGGAAGCTCGACGAGCCACCCAGGGAAGCGCAGCGAGCCATCCTCGGCCTTTCCTCACGCGCCCCCCGCCCCACGCCGCCGCCCTCCCCTCGCCCTGCCCCGCCGCCCCTCCCTTGGGGAAGCTCGACGAGCCACCCAGGAGGAGGCGGAGGAGGAGGAGGAGGAGGAGGAGGAGGAGGTGGAGTGGAGGACGAGGACGAGGACGAGGACGAGGACGAGGAGGAGGAGGAGGAGGAGGAAGAGGAGGAAGAGGTGGAAGAGGAGGAGGAGGAGGAGGAGGAGGAGGAGGAGGAGCCTCTCCTCGGGGGGGCTTGCAGCCGGCACGGCCGCGCAAGAGCGCGCAGCGGCCGGCTGGCGGCGGAGAGCCCGCCCGTTGGGCCGAGGGGTGGGTGGGGGGGGGGGGCCAGGTCGCTTCGGCTCCATTCGAGAGGAGAAAATCCACCCCCAGAAGAACCTCGGGTGTGGCCAGGACCCCGGGTAAGGGGACCCGGTTAGTGGTAGGGCCCTGGGGCCCCTCAACTGGCCAGAATCACTAAACCAGGTTTGCCGTAACTGGTGTTTTTCGGGTGACGGCAGTTCCGGTTAGTGAAAATGGGGCGGGGGGGCGTCCCAGGTACAGATCACTAAACCAGGTTCCACTGAACCCAGTTCTCCCAACGCCTGAGAACCACCCCGACAAGCGAAGCCATCCAGTAACCGCACCCAAGGAGGGAAGGAATCCAACAGGGCAGGGCGTTTAGTAAACGCCCAGGGCCGTTTGGTAAACGCCAATTGTCCGGTCCGGGTGGTTTTTCCTTCCTGGATCCATGAGCTGACATACCCCAGGCACAGCAAGCGACCACAGCCCCAGCTGGGACGATCTTTCAGGAGGGCACCTCGGGCGAGAACCTGCCGACCTCGACGTGAGCACTTCGGCTGCGGCTGTGGTCGATTTGGCCGCCCTGGGGCGCCATATCGACCACAACCAGCACGAAGGTGGTTTCAGTGTTCCGACAATATCCATGGTACGCCTCGATGTGGTTGTGGTCGAATGCTGTCCCCGCGCGCACTGCCCTGGACCAGTTGTGCAACTTGAATCGTCGATTTGTTTGTTTTCGTCGCCTTTGGCTTTTCGCCGTTCTTGGCCTCCGAGGGGGGGGTCGCTTTCGGGCCCCAGGACAGCCAGAAACGGACCCTTCAAGACCCCTCCCAGGAAATCCCCCGGCGACGCTTTGGCACGACCTGCGAGAACTGCATTACTTGTCTACGGGGGTGTAGGATTATATCGGACCTGTCCCCCATACAGGGGGATTTTCGACGAAAAATAGAAGATACCCCAAAATAGTCAAAAAGTAGTCCAAAAATAGTCTGGGGACTATTTTTGACCTTTTGGGTGTTTTGGGGGCATTTTTTATTCTTCGTCGAAAATCCTCCTGTAGGGGGACACGCCCGACATAAGTGTAGGAGAGGCCGCCTCGCTCAAGCATGGGCCCATGCGGAGGTGTCGGGACGCCCGCGCACGCCGTCCGAGCCTCGAGCATCGGAGGGGGCAGGGGGCAGGCCACTGTCCGCGCGCGCCGACGAGAGGACAACTACGCGCACTTCTCGGCGAAGGCGGCGCAGAAGCAGAGCGCCCTCCGCAGCCCGCTGTTCTTCCCTGGCGGTTCTTTGGCCGACCCTGGCGACGAAGCCTTGGACGACGACGGCGCTGCGTTCGAACGACGATGCCTTCGAACGACGACGACGACGACGTTCCCTTGTCCAACCCCTCAACAGACGATCCCATCCTGGAGGACGGAGGATGGGGGAGGAGCAGGGGGGATGGGGACGGGAAGGTTGTTGCACCCTCGATCTTCGGTCGCTGCACCGTCGGCCTTCCATCCTCGTACTCTCGATCCTCGTTCCCTCGACACGCAGCCCTCGAGCCCCAGACTCTTGACCCCCGAATTCCCGAGCCCTCGAGCCCTCGAGCCCTCCCCCCTCCGCCTCCTCTGGCCGCGACCTCCCCCCCCCCCGGACGTCTGTCGTCGGGCTCTGCTGTTCTCCCGCCCGCGAGCTCCAAGGAGGGCCTCGACCGCTTCCTTCGAGCCGAGCCCTCCGCGCGGAAGCCGCGGTGGCCACCGAGACCGCCGCCGCGGCCTCGGCGGCGGCTGCCGCCGCGGGCGGCGGCGAGGACGGCGGCGGCGGCGGCGGCGGCGAGGGCGAGGACGACGGCGGCGGCGAGGACGAGGACGACAGCGGCGAAGGCGAGGTTGAAAGCGATGAGGGCGAGGACGACGGCGGCGGCGGGGGGCGAAGACGGCGGCGGCGCCCAGGCTCGCTGGCGAAGCTGCCGGAGGAGGTCGCGTCGGCCCTCGCCGACCTGCAGCGCGGCCCGGAGGCCGCCGCCGCCGACGACGATGATGATGACGACCGCGCAGACGAGGACGACGACGACGACGACGACGACGACGACGACGACGACGACGACGACGACGACGACGACGACGACGGACGACGACGACGACGACGACGACGACGACGACGACGACGACCGACGACGACGACGACGACGACCGACGACGCGGCGGCGGCGCGGCGGCCACGGCGGCCGCGGGCGGCGGCGGCGGCGCGGACGGCGCCGCGGCGGCGCGGCGGCGGCCGCAGGCCGCGGCGAGGGCACCAGAGGCGCCCGAGCTCGGGGCGCAGGGCGAGGGCTCGGGCCGCCAGCCTCGCTTGTGGAGGCCGCCGCCGCCGCCGCCGCCGCCGTCGCCGTCCGTCGCCGTCGTCGTCGCCGTGTCGTCGTCGTCGTCGTCGCCGTCGTCGTCGTCGTCGTCGTCGTCGTCGTCGTCGTCGTCGTCGCCGTCGTCGTCCTCGCCGCTGCCGTCGTGGCGGCCGCGGGCGGAGGCCATCTCCTCGGCGTTCGCGATGGGGCGCTGGACGCCCACGGGCGCCGCCGGCCTCCGCGCCGCGCGCTGGGGGTGCCTCGGCGAGGCCGCCGCGGCGGTGGGGTGGGGGGGGGGGTTCTCCTGCTTCGCGCCTCCTCCTCCTCCTCCTCCTCCTCCTCCTACTCGTCCTCGTTGTCGTCCTCCTCCTCCTCCTCCTCCTCCTCGCGCCTCCTCCTGCCTGTGTCCTCCTCCTGCCTGCCTGCCTGCCTGTGTGCCTGCCTGTGTCCCTGCCTGTAGAATCTGCACGGGCACCCTCCAGTGGACTGCGCTTTTTGGTGGGGGTGGCGGTGTATGAATCGGCTTCAAGAGCCAACGATGCTACACATCGTGGGCATATTTTCGTGGGTGCCCCTCCTCCCCCTCCTCGGGTGTTTGCGGACATATTTTTGTGGCGTGCTCCTTCTCCCCCTCCTCTTCCATCCCTTTCCCCCCCAACAGTGCTTGCGCTTATCAGGGCTCTTGACTTCTCTTCTAAAGAACTAGGTCTGTCGGTTGCTCTGGCGGCTATGTGGCCGCCGTCGTCGCACGTCACCGCCTCGTCGCCGCCTCGTCGCCGCCCGTCGTCTGGGTTTTTTTCTGCCAGTCTGGCGGCTGTGTGGCCGCCCTCGGCACCCGGTCTCCGCCCCGTCGCCGCCTTGTCGCCGCCCGTCGTCTGGGTCCGTCTGCTGCTCTGGCGGCTAAGTTGCCGCCGTCGCCACCCCGTCGCCGCACCCATCATATTGCACCACATAGATTGCATCACCATGTATTGCGCAAAACATAGATTGCACCTCCTAGGTTGCACAACGCACATATTGCAGCACATGGGCTGCCACATTTATTGCCCCCCACAAATTGCACAACAGATGCTGCACAGAACATGGCACATCACCTAGATTGCACAACACATAGATTGCACAACATAGGCTGTGTCACACAGATTGCGCAAAACATCGATTACCTTTCATATATTGCACAAAGCATAGATTCTCCGCTCGGCAAAAGTATTCGGATCCACCCCCCGGAATTAACGGCCCCCGTTTTCGTATTGTAATGTACATATGGGCCTGCCCTTTTCGTCCATCCTGAATATGAGTTCGTACCATCCCAGACAGGCCCATATCGATTCCCACCCTCATCCTCGGCCAAAAAAGCGCGCACTCGTTTATCAACAACCATCAGTTTTCAAGAATCCCTTGCAAAAAGCAGAACCAAGTGCTCACGCGCGCGTCCTCGCGCGCGCATGCCGGAATCCTTCAATCATCATTGTTTTCGCAAGGATTCCAAGATCGACTGCGCCCAAAACATATAACAAGCACATGGTTTCGCAACCCACATGTTCAACAAAAGCGTGCGCCCACACTCTTGCGAGTTCTTAAGGAAACCATGAGTTGTTTATTTCTTTGTTTTAAAGCATGCCACCGACTGGGCCTCTCGCGTGCGCAAGTCGAAATTATTCGAACGCGCCTGCGCGCGTGCTGTCGCACGAATCCCTTGCAACAGATGAGACGGAATGCACGCGCGCGCGCATCGCCGTGCGCGCACGGCGCACGCAGAAAATCTTCAAAAACCTTAGGTTCGTCAGGAATTCAGAATCGAGTGCCCCGAGAACACATTACAAAAACACATGATTTTGCAACGCCGCTTTTCGAAAGAAGTCTTGCGCTCGCGCTTCTGTAAATTATCAAGCAAACCATCCGCGTTTTTTTTTTTTTTTTTTTTTTTTTTTTTTTTTTTTTTTTTTTTTTTTTTCCCCCCCCCAACATGTCCATTCGATTCTGCCAAACGGGCTTCTAGCGCCGAGTGTCGAAATCATTAGAACGCCGTTGCGCAGGTGCTGCATGGGCACGATCCATGTCAAACAATTCCATGCGGGCCACTCGCGCGTCGACCGCGCGCGCATGTCGAACTCCTTCCAAAACCTTCATCACCGACCAATGACGCCGTCATCGTCGTCGGCGTGATCAGCATCGGCGCCGTCATTGGCCTTGCCGTCGTCGTTGCCACCATCATCACCAGCATCGGTATTATTATCCTCGTGTATGCCGTTGGCGACGTTGCCATGATCCCGCTCCCGCCCAAGTCGCCGACTCGTACTGAAGTGCCCGTTGGGAATTGCCCAGCGGTCGGCGCCGCCGCGGCCTTCGTCGGTTGCGCCAAACTAGCTGGCTGCTGCGCGCGCGAGCATGCGCGGGCTGCCGCGGCCGCATAGATGCACCAGCCAACACCAAGCATTCAGCGCAATCGACGCCGCATGGGTTTATGCAAAACAAGTTGCGGATGGGTGGGTGGGATGATTGCGCGAGCAGTGGAGTTGACAAATTCAAGTTCGACAGGGCGAATTGCACCAAATAGTTTACACAAAACATACACCGTCTCACGTGTAGAATTCTAGGTGCGCGGGTTTACCGCTATGTTTGGTTTCAGGCCCCACACGAAGCGTCTTTTTTAGGGCTCTTGGGCGCAGTGTCTTGGAACAGCGAGGACGTACAAGAAGCGGGGCGTCATTATTTTGGAGCCGCGCGCGCGCGGAGCGGCGCCAGGCTGAGCGGGCTGAGGAGGGGGATGGAGCTCCCCCTCTGGCCCTCCTTCCCGTCCTCCTCCTCCCCCTTGTTCCCCCCCCCCCCCCTTTTTCCTCCTCCCCTCCTCCCTCCCCTTCCCTCCTCCCCTGCCCCCTCCCCTCCTTTCCCCTCCCTTCCCCTCCTCCCCTCCCCCCTTCCCTCCCCTGGCCGAGGCGCCAGTCTGTTTGCATCTCCGCGGCTCCCGGAGCCAGCCGCGTGGCTCGTGCGGGCACGCCGCCGACCTGCGCGGCAGCGCGGCCGAGGCGCCCCCTGGCGCCTGCCGGCGGCAGCCGGCAGCGCTCCCCTCGCCGCGCCCGCGGCCCCTGCGCGGTCGTCTGGAGCGTCGGGCCGCTCGGAACTCCTGGGCTTGGCATCGCTCGGGCGTTTGCCTCTTTCCTTCGGCGGGGACGATCGAGGAGCATCTTCGATTATCTCGCGAAAAAGCCGCGCACGGAACCGAAAAAAAACACAGGAGATGGACGTCCGAGCGATGGCCAGTAGGCGCTTCGCGCAGCCCAGGCCCCCTCGCGTTGCGACCAAGATCACGACGGGAGGGGTTTCGCCATCTGCGGCTTCGGGGGGGCCCTCTCGCCCTGCCTCGGGGCCGTCAAGAGCCCACGCAGGAGGAGAAACGGGTCCCTGAGGCAGGGGTCCAGCCCTCTGGGTCAAGGGCATAAAAAAACGCCCCTACCCTGGTTTACGATGCGCTGTGCGCTGAAACTCCTGTGGGCCGACAGGGTAAACCCTGCGTGATGCGCCGCGCCCTGGCGCAGCGGCAGATAGAGAGCCGGGGGGGCCCTCGCCCCGATGGACGAGGCATCGGAGGAGGAGGAGGAGGAGGAGGAGGAGGAGGAGGAGGAGGAGAGGGAGGGAGAGGAGGAGGAGGAGGAGGAGGAGGAGGAGGAGGAGGAGGAGGAGAGGGAGGGAAGGAGGAGGGGAGGAGAGGAGGAGGAGGAGGAGGAGGAGGAGGAGGAGGAGGAGGCGGAGAGGGAGGGGAAGAGGAGGAGGAGGAGAGGGAGGGGAAGGAGGAGGAGGAGGAGGAGGAGGAGGAGGAAGAAGAGGAGGAGGAGAGGGAGGGGAAGGGGGAGGGGAAGGGGGAGGATGGAAGAGGACATTCGCTAAACCACTCACGCCCAGAGAGCTGGTGAGACTCGTGGGCCAGCGCGCGCTGGTCCCGCGGAGGGCCGCCGGAGGAGAGGGCTGTGCCGGATGTGCCATTGCTCCCTGACTTCCATTCGAGACCTCACGTCGTGAACACATCAGGAAGAGAGGTTTTGGGCGACGTTTGGTTCTTGGTGCCCTAGCTCGGACCCCGATCCGTCACTGAACGACTCAAGGGATGAAAAACCGGTCCCCAGGAACGGGTCCAGACCTCTGGGAGCGTGTTTCTTGATTGCTTGGGGCATAATGAGCATTATAGCGCCCGGTCCCCCCTCCCCCCCCCGCTATAACGTAACGCCCCTCCCCCCCCAGTGCGCTCCGGGCACTGCCGCCGTGCGCACGGCGGGGGGGGAGGCGGGAGGCGCATGGCCGCATCGGGCATGCATCGCAGACAAGGTCTCACCGCGCTATCCGGCGCTTAGCACAAGAGCATACGGCACTTAGGATGCAATCACGAGCAGGATTAAAAGGTAGCGAAAGCACGAGTAAATCGAAGGAACATCATCGCGATCACCATCCGTGGCCCCCTCTCCGATTCCTCCTCCGCATCCGAATCCTTCTTCCCCTCCTCCCTTCCATATTTTGAGGGTCTGACCCTCCACCACACCAACACCAGCACCAACACACGGGCATACCTCAGCCAGTGGAAGGTGACCCTCGAATTCGGTGTTGTCCGTAATTTTTCGGCCACCCAGGACGCCAAAAATATGACCACCATCACCGAGATCGGGAGCACCTTCCCTCGGTGGAGGCACGCCGCCGATACTTGGTGTTGGTGTCAACCTCCGCGGTCCCGCTTATGGTTAAGACACCTCCCCCCGAAAAGCTGGCCCAGCGTTTCTTAACCAACTTGCCGGAAAGCTGGCTCAGTTTCTTAAGGGGATTGGTAGCCTCCGCTTCCGGGTTCGCGCCGGTGAAGGATCCGACTGTCTGCTCCTGGCTCCAGAAGCGGGCCCGGCGCTTCCTCGAGAAACGTCTGGAACGCTGGCCCAGCTTGCTTCACTGATAGTTTCCTCAATCCTTTCTTTGACTGTACCTGGTGCTCGCAGGTGACTTTTCTCCCCCAATCCCCGAGCTTCGCCGGAAAAGTATGACCGCTCAGAAAAAGAGGGAAACCCTGGGATACACCCCAAGGAGGCTATTCGGACGCACCACTATCGAGGATGAACGCCCCCCAATCGTATATCCCAGGGTTGGGGCTCAAATTTCTGCTTCATGCGAAAACCCCACGATGTCTGGGATAGGGGTCGACATATGCCCTGTTAGGTGCTGGTGTCAACCTCCAGGCCTCCCATGCACTGCAGACCCTCAAGCTCTGGAGTGCCGCGGCGCTGCGTGGCGGCCACGAGGGGCCCAGGCACGTGCGGCCGCCGCGCTCCCCGGGCCTCGGCCCCCCCGAGGGGGTGGCCAGGACCGGGCAGCTCGCCACAAGAGGGGGGGCCCGGGGGAGGAGGGAGGAGGAGGGAGGAGTAGGAGGAGGAGGAGGAGGAGGAGGAGGAGGAGGAGGAGGAGGGGAGGAGGGGAACGGGCAGGAGGAGGAGCAGCAGGAGCAGGAGCAGGAGCAGGAGCAGGGGAAGGAGGAGGAGGAGGAGGGCCAGTTCAAACCCAAGACGGATCGGCGCTATTGCAACAAGCCCTCCCTCCAAGTTCCTTCTTCATGGGTCCTTACAAGAGTTCATCTCCACTGAGAGAACTGCCCCGTGGGGAGACAACCGCCTGAAGCGTGCCAAAGCAGCATTCTCGGGATTTCAACGCCACGAATGAACTTGACTTTTGCGTCTTGACGACCTTGAATCGTGCCAGAACACTTCTGCGACTCCAACACTGGGAATCAGCGTAAGTGTCGCGCCCTGGCAATCCTGAGTGGTTCCCAAGCACCGTTTCTGGGACGTCAGCCATGAGAATCAGCAACGCTCTTGTAAGGTTTTAAAAGGAATGTGAACGGCGCTCAGGCGAGAGCCACATTTTGAAAAGGAACCGCCCTCAATCCGTGAAGCTCTTTTGCATACTTCTGTAAATATTTAAGACGAGTGTGCGCGGCGCTAAGGCGTGAGCCACATTTTGAAAACGAGCCGCCCTCAATCCGTGAAGCTCTTGCATTTGTTCCAAACGAATGTGCGCGGCTCTTCAGCGAGAGCCGCATTTTGGAAACGACCCGCCCTCAATCCGCGAAGCTCTTGCAATTGTTTAAGACGAGTGCTCGCGGCGCTAAGGCGAGAGCCACATGTTGAAAACCACCCGCCTCCCATTTGTGAAACTGAGACCAAGTTTTAAGCTTCAGGGTCATCAGTGTTAAGGGAGTCTCAGGCGAAACGCCCGGCCCGCTATTTTAAATGGCCTCGGGGTGCAACAGGCAAAGGTTATTTATAAGGAAATGGATTGGCAGGAGGAGGAAGATGAGGAAGAAGAGGAGGGCGAGGAGGAGGAGGCGGACTAGAGTACACCCAAGACCCATCAACGATGCTGGAATACTCCCTCCCTCGAAGCTCCCTCTTCATAGGCCACTGCAAGGGTTCACTTCCGCTGAGGGAAGTGCCCCGTTGGCCGACATCCGTGTGAAAATCCTGAAGCCCGCAAGAGCACCATTCTCAGGACTTTAACGCCACAAGTCAACCAGACCCTTGAGTCTTGACGATCCTGAATCGCGCCAGGACACCATTCCGACGATTTCAACACCGCGAACCAACGCAAGTGTTGCGCCCTGACAGTCCCGAATCGCTCCAAACTGCATTTTCTGGTACGTTAACCATTCGAAGCAGTGAAACCCTCGCGAAGTTTTCGAACAAATGCGTGCGGCGCTAATGCGAGAGCCACATTTTGAAAACGACCCCCCCTCAATCTGTGACAGTCTCAACATATGTTGAAGCGAATGTGCGCTGCGCTAACTCGAGGACCACAGTTTGAAAAGGAGCTGCCCTCAATCCGTGAAGCTCTTTTGCATACTTCTGTAAATATTTAAGACGAGTGTGCGCGGCGCTAAGGCGTGAGCCACATTTTGAAAACGAACCGCCCTCAATCCGTGAAGCTCTTGCATTTGTTTCAAACGAATGTGCGCGGCTCTTCAGCGAGAACCCCATTTTGGAAACGACCCGCCCTCAATCCGCGAAGCTCTTGCAATTGTTTAAGACGAGTGCTCGCGGCGCTAAGGCGAGAGCCACATGTTGAAAACCACCCGCCTCCCATTTGTGAAATTGAGACCACGTTTTAAGCTTCAGGGTCATCAGTGTTAAGGGAGTCTCAGGCGAAACGCCCGGCCCGCTATTTTAAATGGCCTCGGGGTGCAACAGGCAAAGGTTATTTATAAGGAAATGGATTGGCAGGAGGAGGAAGATGAGGAAGAAGAGGAGGGCGAGGAGGAGGAGGCGGACTAGAGTACACCCAAGACCCATCAACGATGCTGGAATACTCCCTCCCTCGAAGCTGCCTCTTCATAGGCCACTATAAGGGTTCACTTCCGCTGAGGGAAGTGCCCCGTTGGCCGACATCCGTGTGAAAATCCTGAAGCCCGCAAGAGCACCATTCTCAGGACTTTAACGCCACAAGTCAACCAGACCCTTGAGTCTTGACGATCCTGAATCGCGCCAGGACACCATTCCGACGATTTCAACACCGCGAACCAACGCAAGTGTTGCGCCCTGACAGTCCCGAATCGCTCCAAATTGCATTTTCTGGTACGTTAACCATTCGAAGCAGTGAAACCCTCGCGAAGTTTTCGAACAAATGCGTGCGGCGCTAATGCGAGAGCCACATTTTGAAAACGACCCCCCATCAATCTGTGACAGTCTCAACATATGTTGAAGCGAATGTGCGCTGCGCTAACTCGAGGACCACAGTTTGAAAAGGAGCTGCCCTCAATCCGTGAAGCTAGCTGTTACACATGTTTGAAACGGGCGCCCGCGGCGCCAAGGCGAGAGCTACATTATGGAAACGAATCGTTTCAATCCATGAAACTCTTGCGAACTGTAACTGCGAGTGTGCGCGGCGCTAGAGCGAGAGCCACATTTTGAAAACGACCCGTCTGCAATCCGTGAAGCTCCTGCACATGTTGCAAGCGAATTTGCGCGGCGCCAAGGCGAGAGCCACAGTTTTAAAACCGTCCGCCCTCAATCCGCGAAGTTCTTGTAACTTTCAACAACGACTGTGTGCGGCGCTAATGCGAGAGCCACATTTTGCAAACGCCCCACCTTCAATCCGTTAAGCTTTTGCAAATTGTTGAAACGAATGCGCGTGCCGCTCAGGCGAGAGTCGTATTTTGGAAGTGACCCGCCTTCCATCTGTGAAACTGCTGCCACCTTTCCAGCTTGATATTCATCTATGGTAAGGAAGTCTCAGGCGAAGCGCCCAGCCTGCCCTTCCTATTTGTCTCCGGGTGCGACAGGGGGGAGTAATTCAGAAGGAAAAATAATGGAAGCGGAGGAGGAGGAGGAGGAGGAGGAGGAGGAGGAGGAGGGGGAGTTCGCTGTGAGGAATGAGGAGGAAAAGGGGGAAGATCGGAAGGAGGAGGAGGGAAGGAGGGAGGGTGAAGGGATCGGCTCATTAATTCTGCCTTACCGCGCCTCCGACACGCGGATCGATCTCGACTCGCGCCGGCATGGAAGAAGCGACGGGACGGCGCGAGCAGAATCACGGGAAGACTGTGGGCCGAGCAGGGCTCTTCGTGGCTGCGTCAAGCCAGTGGCGCTTCAAGGGGGGCCCGCCTTCCCCTCCGCCTCCGCCCCCCCTTCCGCCTCCCCCCGCTGCAGGCGCCCGACCCGCACGTGCCCTGGCCGCAGCTGCCCGCCGACTGGTTGAACACGGCTGCGCCCGCCGGGCGGGGCTGCAGGAGGAGGAGGAGGAGGGGGAGGATGTCGAGGAGGAGGAGGAGGAGGAGGAGGAGGAAAGGGAGGAGGAGGAGGAGGAGGAGGAGGAGGAAGAGGAGGAGGAGGAGGAGGAGGAGGAGGAGGAGGAGGGGGAGGATGTAGAGGAGGGGGAGCAAGAGAGGGAGGAGGACGAAGGCGGGGACAAGCAGAAGGACAACGATGTGGACGAGGAGAAGGTGGGGCGAGGGCTTGGGAAGAGCAAGGAGGAGCAGAGCAGAGGAGGATGACCAGAGTAGACCAAAGAGGCATCACCGATGCTGAGATGCGCCGCTCAGTCCCAAGTATCCATCTGACGAAGTCTTACACGCCTTCTTCTGCACAACAGATGCGCCCCGTTGGAAAAAAAAGCACGCATTCCAGTGAGAGCCGTGGTCGAAAAAAAGGAATTTCTTTGGATCCTTGAATCGAAGGGCTGCGACAAACTGGGGTGACACACTTTCACGGCGTGTTCAGCGGAAGCCCCGTTTTGAAAAGGAGCCGCGCACCATCCATGCAATGAGGGATAAGTTTGCAGTTTTAAGATAAACAATGCTTGTCGGCTTGGGACCCAAGCGACGTGCTATTTCATTGTGGATGTGTACGCTATGCGATGTAAGCTATGTGGTTTATGACGTGTGGTGCAATATATGGTGCCACTTGGTTTTTACACACGAGTTGACACATCCCATGCTCTTACAAACATCGCACCCACCCGCCCGCGACTTGGTTTGCAAAGCCCATGCGGTGGCGATTATGATGCATGCTTGGCGTTGGCACGTCGGATCTCAGCACCGCTGCGCTGCCCAGCGGCGCTCCCCTGACTCTTGATTCGCCGTACTTTGGTTGATTCTCCGATCCAGAAGTGTGTCGGACGTGCGCCCCAAACGATGCGAAAAAAGTAAGCGGAAATTCCGTCTCGGGGATCGTCCCAAAATATCCGGGATGAAGAGCAGGCCCCAGAAGCCTCGACCCCGCCTCTGCCTCCTCCTCCTCCTCCTCCTCCCTCCCTCCTTCCTCCTGCTCCTCCTGCTCCTCCTCCTCCTCCTTCCTCCTGCTCCTCCTGCTCCTCCTCCTCCTCCTCCCTCCTCCTCCTCCTCCTCCTCCTCCTCCTCGTCCTCCTCCTCCTCCTGATATTTTTTTTTTGACGGTACCAAGAAACGCACGACACCACCCCATTTACGGCACGCCGTGCTGGATGTTTGCGAGCTTGCCTCGCTGTCCTTCGCGTGGTGCTTCCTGGCCGACGACGGCATGATGGCGACGTGCTGGGCAGTCGTAGTTTGTCATGGCTTTGACGTGCTGGTGCGGGCCACTTCGTTGTAGACGTGGTCCGGTTGTTCTGTCAGGTCGCCATTTGTCTGGGCGGTGTCGTAGCGCGGAATGGGGGCTGCTGCGTCGCCAAACTTGCCGGCTTCTTGTCGCGCGGGGCACAGGGTGAGTTAGTTTGGTGTTGGGCTGGCGCGTTCGTTGCTCCACTGTTGTGGGTTCAGGCGTGCAGGCGGTCCGATGTTCGAGCCTGCCGTTCGCGCGTTGTCGACGCATCGCGCGGTTTCGAAAAGGTGCCGGGTCGGACCTGGCCCGCGCGCGCGTCTTGAAGTGTGCGTTAGATTTGGGTCGGGCATGGCGGTGGCCTGGCGCGTGGCTGTCAGAGTCGTCCTCGGTTTGGTTCTAAGTTCTGCGTTGCTTCCTCGGCGTCGTCCCTGGCGCGCGGCGGCTGTCGTCCTCCTGCGCGGGTGGGCTGAGGGGGCGCCGTCGCCTGCGCGGGCGCTCCTGCGTCGGTTACGGAAGCCTGCGCGCGCCAGCAGGTGGATGCGTTGCCGGTTAGTTGTCATGGGTTTCGCGTTTTTCTTGGCGGCACGTGGGCGCGTTCCGCTTTCGTCGCTTCTGTTTGCAGGCCGCGGCGATTGCGCGCCGCTGAGCGCGCGGCGCAAGCCTTGGGTGTCGTTGCCATCGCTGGGGCTCTTTCGCCCGCCCGCGTGTCCTATCCACCTATCAATTATCCATTCCTTTCTAGTCCCTCTTCATGCATCCTCCCTCCTTCCTAGTCTGTCCATCTTCGTTTCCGCTGCAGCCATCCTCCTTCCACCTCGCTCCTCCTTCCTCCTCCTTTCTCATCCTCCTGCCTTTTCTCTGATGGTTCCTTCTCCTTCCTTCCCCCTTTGCCTCCTTCCTCCCTCCTGCCTCCCCCCTCATCCCTTTTGTTTCCACCCTTTTTCCGTCCTTTTGTTTCTCCTTCCTTCATCCTTCCTTAGCCGCCCACCCACTTCGTGAGCGCCCCCATCCCCGTCTGCTTGCGCCGACAGGTGTGCCCATTTCCCCGTCCTCGCCCCTCCTCCCTTCTCCTCGTCCTCCTCCTTCCCTCCTCCCTGTCCTCCGCCTCCTCCTTCTCCTCCTCCACCCTGCTCCTCCCTTTCCCCCCCCCTTCCCCCCCTCCCCTCCCCTCTTCCCTCTTCCTGCCCATCCCCGCTCCTCCCTTTTCCCCCCTTCTCCTTCTCCTCCTGCCTCTCCCTCCGCCGTCCTCCGCCCCCGCTGCCCTTCCCCGTCTGAGCCTTCCTGCTCTCGCCCCCCCTCGTTCCCTCCTCCTCCTCTTCCTCCTCCTCCTCCTCTTCATCCTCCTCCTCCTCCTCCTCCTCTTCCTCCTCCCTCCTCCTCCTCTCTCTCCTCTCCTCCTCCTCCTCCTCCTCCTCCTCCTCCCTCCCTCCATCCCTCATCCTCCTTCCTCCTCCTTCTCCTCCTCCTCCTCCTCCTCCTCCACTTTCTCCTCCTCCTCGGACCACCTGCGGGGTAGGGTGCTGCTGATGGCAGCGCAGGTCGCGCCGGCTTTTCCGGGCCTTCCGGAGGCCCCCAGCCCCTCCGCCTGGGAGGCCCCCCCCGGGACCCCAGAGGGGGGCGCCGGCAGGAACGCGGGCCGCCCCGCTCATCCAGAAAACCCGATCGGGGCCGCAGCGCACACCGCGCCAAAACCATGGTATACGCTACGACCGCTGCAGGGCCGCAGCGTACACCACGTCAAAATGCAGGGCAGACCGGAGGCACGCGCCACGGCCCCCGCTTGCCTGAACAAGGCGGGCGGGCCCCTGCCGCCCCGGCTCGGGCGCAGCATCTTCGGTTTGGCCGTGTTTTGACCCCTGCGGCACCTGCGGTGGCGCCCAGCGCGCCGCCTCCTCGCCAGGAACGCTGGTGTTCGAGACGGCTGTGCGCTGCGGCATTCTAGCCCCTCCCTGTGCCTCCATCGTTCCCTCTTTCCTTCTTCGCCTTTCCTCCCTTCCTCCATCCTCTTTCCCCCCCCCCCCTTCCCCCTTCCCTCCGCCTCGTTATCCCCTCCCCCCCTCCCCCGTCCTCCTGCGGTCTTCTCTTTCGCATGGTCCTTGCCCCCCATCCATTCCTTCATTTCCAGTTTTTCCTCGCCCTCCCTTTCCCTCCTCCCCGTTCCTTTCGATTTCCACACCACGTATATGTGAAATCGCGCTTTCGCGCGGGACCCCGCACAATTTATGCAGGAATCGCGCTCCCGCGTGGGACTTCCCCGCAATTGATTCAGACGCCGCGCCCTCGACACCGAGGAATCATGCTCGTTGCGGAATCCCTAACGATTTACTTCGGAATCGCGCTGGCGTTCGGGACTTCCCCACGATTCATGCAGGACGCACGCTCCAGCAACCCGCCTGTTCGACCTGGTTGCCGGGGCCCGCCGCCCCGACCCGCCCGATGGGATCTGCCCGCCCGATGTGCCCGTCTGGGTCTGCCACGTGCTTTCTGCTCCTAGCCTTAAGTCGAGCCTGTCCCTCTACAGGGGGACTATTCAAAAATAGTCAAACATAGTCTGGGGACTATGGCTTTGATATTCTTGGACATGCCTTGCACACGTTTTGGGTATGTTTGATTTTTCGTCCACGGTTTTCCTGTAGGAGGACAAGCCCGACCTAATCCTAGCCCCCCTCCTGCTAGTCTCTCTCGTGCTCCATTTTCCTCCCCCTCCTTGCCCCTGCCTTCCATCCGGTCTCTGCTCCCCTGCCGTAGGGGCTGCACGAGCACACACGCTGCAGGTAAGGAAGCTGTGCATTCGAGGGGGTACGGTCGAAGACGAAGAGGCCAGGTATCGAGGGTTGGGGATATACGTGTTGCGTGGCACGCGAGCGGAAAAAAGCGAACAGTATGGTAGTGATTGTTGTTGTAGTTGTAGTTGTAGTTGTAGTTGTAGTTGTAGTTGTAGTTGTTGTTGTTGTTGTTGTTGTTGTTGTTGTTGTTGTTGTTGTTGTTGTTGTTGAACTCTCATTCTTGAAGAATAATTATTGTTGATCCCCCCCACCGGTGCACATTGTTTTTTTTCGATTGAAGTGCCACCCCCGGGGCTCGCACCTTGTTTTTTCTGAAGGAAAGTCTTCCTGCTCAAACTGTGCCCCTGCCCCCCGGGCTACAACAACAACGGCTCCCGCCTGAGACTTCCTCGATTTTTACTCAGGACCCCCGCTCCTGCTTGACATTTCCACGCAATTGACTCAGGAACGGCGCTCCCGCCTGAGACATCCTCGCAATTTAGTGAGGACCCCCGCTCCCGCCTGAGACTTCCGTGCAATTCGCTCAGGAACGGCGCTCCCGCTTGAGACTTCCTTGCAACTTAGTCAGGGCCCCCGCTTCCGCTTGAGATTTCCTCACAATGTACTCAGGACTGCGCTCTCGCGTGCGACGTCCTCACAAATTATTCTGGAATTGCGTTTCGGCGCTCAGGAACCACGCACGCGCCAAGGACGCCTTCACAACGTGGTATCTTCCCTCTTCCTTCGTCCTTCCCCCTCCCCTTCCTCCCACTCTCCCTCGTTCTTCCCCTCCTCCTCTTGCAGGGCCCGCGCCAATTCCAATGGCGGGCAGAGAGATGTACGCCCCCGAAGGATTGTCCGCCCGTTCCGGTTTGCCCGTACGTCTAAGCCCGCCGGCCCCAGCAAAGAGAAATAATCCCC